TATATTAGGGAAGGATCTACAGGGTGTTCAGGATCTCACTACTAGATCAGACTCCTAGTGATCCACCTGTTTACAGCCTCCCAAGAGCTGGGATTCCAAGCACATACCACCATGCCCAGTCTCAATTGCCATCTCAGCATGCCCTGGGGGCGGGGTTGGCACAGCAGGCTCCGGGAGTGAATACCTGGCCCCTGCACCTGCTTGCAGGTGCTTTAATCCACTGAGCTATTTGACCATCTCCTTAGAATTCCTGTAGTAAACACAAACATAAATGGGGCATCTACATTCATCTCTCACTTTCCCATTTAATATTTTCATGGTGCCTTGGCTGAGTTATTCAGCACAGCAGCCTGTACTCACCATTGCAGGTTCCTAGTTAGGCTGGATGGGGTTTGAACTGGAGACCAGGTGGTACTCTCACCTCTGATACATTTGCTGTGAGGGATGAATGTTAGCACCTGATCTTCTAGATCAGGTACAGGTGAGCCTGTCCACCATGAGCACAGGTACAGGTGAGCCTGTCCACCGTGGCTGGAGCACATGCGGTGGAGATAGCTGTGCTAATGTCATCCCTCTGTCCTCCTGGGCTCACAGCACTGTGGTGTTCCAGCGGGGCTCTGCAGGGCCCTAATGTGAGGATTCAGCCATCTAGAAGTGTTTCAGTTCTGCTCCAGATTTATGTGAAAATTCGTGGTAAAGATCCTGTGTATTCAAATGTTTTGTGCAGCAAATACTAACCTGCCCACCAGTCATGTACTCAGGTGCGCCCATTGGAATCTGGGTCAAAAACAATATTTTTCTGCTGTGTTGCTTGAAGGGGCTGCTGTCTAGAGAACACCAATTTCCTCCATGTCCCCACAGCTGGGCATGTGGGTGCCCACCTGTAATCCCAGGAAGGTTACCAGTTCAAGGCCAGCTGGGGCAACTTGGGCCTTGCCTTAAAAACAACAACAAAAAAGGCAACCCACCAATTGTATTTTCTTGATAGCATACAACCAGATTAAAACAAAATATTAGTTGTTCTAGTTGGTGGATTACAATTTACAACTTTTTTTTTGATCTTTTTGAGTCAGGGTCATACAGCGCAGTTCAGACTGGCCTTGAGCTCATGTTGTAGCCCATGCTAGTCTGGAGCTCAGAATGATCCTCCTGCCTAGCCCTCCAAGTGCCGGTATTACAACTGTGCAACACCATGCCCAGTATTGGTTACAACTTTCATTTCAGAGTTTGGTTTCAGAGTCTTAAATTGACCAAAGTACCCTTATAGTTCCAGTTGATTACAAAATTGATGTTTTGTGGAATTCAGCTTGCAACTCATCAAGTAAATCTTGCCTGCATAGTCCTCTGTCTTAGGGTTCTTTGGTGAGATTTGTTTTGTTTTAGCAATAATGTATCTTGGGGTGAAGGAAAAAGCTTTGCACACACAGCTTTGTCACTGAACTAATGATCTGTGCTGCATGAGCTACTTGCTCTTCTTTGCTAGCTCTAGTTCTGTGGTAGCCTCTTGGGTCCTAAGGAGAGCACAGGACTTGCAGTGTTTGAACGTCTTGGGGACAGGAGTGTGCCCATGTCCTGGTCGTCTTCTGGGACGGGGTATGGAGGAGCTGAGTTTGCTGATAAACTTGTCACATGCTGGCTCCTGCTTGTCATTGCAGCACCGTCAGCACTGGGGCTGGGTGGTTCTAGTCTGGAGTGCTCACCTGTGCGAGATGGCACCTACAGAGACTTCTTGGGCTCTGTTCCCTTGTGGCTCCAACTGTGACAGCCAACTTGATTTTCTAGACACTGACGGGTATCTCCAGGAGGGGAAAGTATTCTAGTGTGGAAGCCACGTGTCACAAAAATCAGGGTTCCAAACTCACAGTTCACACTATCCAACCCATCTGAGCTAGGTCATGCATGCACAGGGAACAGACCGAAGACAGTGATGGGGTATTTTGGTTGATACCAAAGTTGGGCACGGTGGTGCACAACTGTCATGCCAGTACTCAGTAGGCTGAGGCAGGAGAATCATTGCAAGTTCGAGCCTTGGGCTACAAAGTGTAGCCAGCCTGGGCTACAAAGTGAGCTCAAGACCAGCCTGAAAAGCACAGCAAGACCCTGTCTCAAAAAGACAAAAAAGAAAAATGAAAACCAAAGCATGCAAACAAATAAAAGAAAATAATGTTGTGCTTTGGAGGGGGGAAATTTTGCAAAATGAAGCCTGGAAATGGCTAAAGGAGGGGATTTTCTTTTTTCATTCCAACTGTTTTGGGAATCCATTTTCAGGTGACAAACTTGGTTTGTGGGGATGGTAGAGGGTGATCTGTCAATAGATTGATTCCAGGAGATGCTATGGTCTGGTTATGATTGGGAGTCTTAGAAGCAAACAGAGGTGTTGACTGTGAGGAGCATGTGGGTCCGCTGTGCACTGAAGTAGGTGTGAATGCCTGCATAACTACCACCCGCGCTGCTCAAGTAGAGCTACCACTATGGCTAAAGAACCTGGAGCTCGCTGCCATGGGAGGGTCAGACATCTGTGTGAGGATGCTGTTGGCCCCTATCAATCCATCTGACATAAATATGATCCAAGGGAACTATAGCCTCCTTCCCATGCTGCCTACTCTTGGAGGAAATGAAGGCATTGGACAGGTGGTCACAGTGGGCAGCAGTATGACTGGGCTAAACCCAGGAACCTGGGTGATTCCGGCCAGTGCTGATTTGGGAACCTGGCGGACTGAGGCAGTGTTCAGCAAGGAAGCCCTGATTGAAATTCCCAATGACATCACTCTTCAGAGCACTGCCACCCTGGGTGTCAACCCCTGCACAGCCTACAGGATGTTGGTGGACTTCAAACAGCTGCAGCCAAGGGACTCTGTCATCCAAAATGCATCCAGCAGTGGAGTAGGGTAAGCAGTTATCCAGATCGTCACAGCCCTGGGCCTGAGGACCGTCACTGTAGTCCGAGACATACCTGCCATCCTAACAGACTGAAGGATCTGGGGGCTAAGCATGTCATCACAGAGGAGGACTGAGAAAGCCTGAAACAAAAAACCTCTTCAAGCACATGCCCCAGCCATGGAGCAACTGTGTCATGGAGCTGCTTTGGTATTTAGCACCTGAAGGAACCATGGTGATGTATGGCGGGATGGCCAATCAGTCTGTCACAGCCTCCGTGAGCCTGCTCATTTTTAAGGACCTCAAACTTTGAGGCTTTTGGTTGTCCCAGTGGAAGAAGAACCACAGTCCAGATCAGTTCAAGAGTCTGCTGCTCATGCTGTGCCACCTTATCTGCCAAGGCCAGCTCACAGAGTCTGCCTACACGGAGGTCCCCCTGCAGGACTATCAGCAGGCCTTGGGAGCCACCATGGAGCACTTTGTGTCCTCAAAGCAGATTCTCACTGTGTGATTGTCCCAGAAGAACCAGAGCAAAGTAGGACGGGGACATGGCCACCGGGAATAGCCCTCTCCAGACTGCTGTCCATTCACGGCTCATCCCACCAGGAGGATGAGGGGCCAGGGGCCAGCCTTATAAATAAAGTCTGAACTTCTAAAAAAAAAAAAAAAGAAGAAGAAGCAAACAGAATAGTTCTGACCAAGCTACAGATAAAAAGAGACCATATGCTTACAGATTTTCCTGCCTGTCTGTGCGTCCATGCATCTGTCCATTCGTCCATCTGTTTGATGTCCATCCATCCATCTATCCATCTATCTATTCACCTGTCCATCCACCTATCTTTTCATCTGTCCATCCATCCATCTGTCCATTCATCCATCCTTCTGTCCCTCTGTCCATCTGTTCATCCATTCATCCTTCTGTCCATCCATCCTTCCATCTGTCTGTCCATCTGTCCATCCTTCCATCTGTCTACCCATATGTCCTTCCATCTGTCCATCCATCTATCCATCTGTCTGTCTAATCATCCGTCTGTCTGTCCATCTGTCCATTTGTCTATTCATCCAGTGTCCGTCTTTCCATCTATTCCTGTGTCCATCCATCCATCCATCCATGGGTCCTTCTATCTGTCCATCCACCTGTCCTTCTGTCTGTCCATATGTCCTTTCATCTATCCATCCATCTGTCCTGTCTGTCCATCTGCCTATCCATCTGCCCCCTTGTCTGTGAATCCATCTGTCCATGGAATGTCCATCCATCGGTCTGTCCCTCTTGCCATCTGTCCATCCATCGATCTGTCTGTTCATTCATCAGTCTGTTCAACCATCTGTCCATCTGTCCATCCATCCATCTATCCATTTGTCCATCCATCCATCCTTCTGTCCATCTGTGCATCTATTGGTCTGTCAGTTCAGTTTGTCCATCCGTCTGTCCATCCATCCATCTGTAAATCTGTCCTTGCATCTGTCTGCCTGTTTGTCCATCAAACCATCCATCCATCCATCCATCCATCCATC